CCTATTTTACCTCCTGCCAGGACAACAGAAAGTATGAGCTAGTCAGGAACTCTACCACATTCCTACTGCTGTCTCTTCCGAGTAAAATTGTAAGTTGCTTCTTAGCAGCTACTGTGTCAACAAACAAATGGCATAGATTGTCATAAATGCACACAAGTTTAGTTCAGGAGTATTTTAGAGATCCCTTTTTAACTGTCCGAATTATTTGGATCAAAGGAGGAGAAAGAGCAGACAAACAATTATTTCTGTCTTTCTCAGGAAGGGAGACCAAAAAGGATTGCTATCACATTCTTGAAAAGCAGGCATCTATAAAAAAAGATGGGAAAACTTATGCATACGTGCCATTGTTAAACAGGCAAAACCAGGGATAAGTTTTATAGCTCCTACTTGCCAGTACCTTGTTTCAAACTTTGGTACTGCCTCTTTTGGCTCACCAAATATTACAGGACCTTAGCAACGAATTGCAAGGAAGGCACACCGCTATACTGAACCAAAGCTAGCCTGTCAAAGGAACTGGACGTTTTAAAAAGCCAGTTGCTTTTGTTTTCACAAACTTTCTACCATTATGTGCTGGCTCTTCCTCTACAAAGGAGAGATTCTGTGGTATTTCAACAAGATACATATAGGATCACAGGACAGTTCAGGCTAAAAGGGACCTCAGCAGGTCTCTGGTCCAACCTCCTGCTCACAGCAGGTCAGGTCTGAGATCAGAACAGGTTGCTCAAGGCTTGATCCAGTCAGAGCTTGAAAACCTCCAGGAATGAAGATTGCACAGCCTCTCAGGCAGGGCAACCTGTGCCACTGCCTGCCTGTCCTCATGTAGATAAAATTCTCCTTTTATCTAGTGTGAAGTTCTCTGGACTCTGCCTGCTGTCTCTGCATCTCATCCTGCAATACACCCCTGTGAAGAGCCTGGATCTGTCTTCTAGACAATCTTATAGGTACCAGCAGGCTCCCCCAAAGCCTGTTAGGTCCCCCCAAAGCCACTTCTGCTCCAGGCTGAACAAGCTCAGTTTCCTCTGTGTCTCCTCACAGGTGAAGTGCTGAAGCTCCCACCATCTCAGGGGCCACCACTGAAAGCACTAAATGTCCATCTTGTGCTGGGAGGCCCAAAACTGGATGCAGTATTTCAGATGCTGTCTAAAGGCACTGAGTAGAGGGCGATAATCAGGTCCCTTGAGCACTGCCTGTGTTCTTGTTAATATAGCCTGTATTTGAAGCTTTCTTTACAATTAATTCTTTACACAGCTGCCTCTTTTTACAAAACCTAACCATTTGAGACCAAGGTTATCTTGGCTGAAAACTGGCAAGAGCTTAAAGTATTACAGGGGCACAGAAGTTGAAATCATCACAAAAAGCAGGGTAACAGCGGTTTATGTGGCAACTTTGCACACACTTCCACTTCTATGCGGCTTCTACGTATTCCCCCACACTTATGAAAATCATGGATATATTGCCAATGATGTAAAGAAATACAGACTTCTCTGTTTTGTATTATTTGGTATACTTTTTAAATCCTTGTGATTCATTTTAAGTGGCAAAATGAATTAAAATCTATATACTTTGCCTTGGAAAGATATTGTTTGGGAGCACAAATATAAGAATGTAACAGTAATTTCTAACTTACCTTAGGAGCATAGCAGCTTAAAAGCTTTTCTGACATTGCAGAAAGGCAGTACTCCAGTGTTTCCCTAAGATTTTGGTTGACAGCAAGTTTTGAACCAGTCACATTTTTATCTGCAACATTTACTGCAAAGTTAGTGAAAATATCCATTTCATCAAATGTTGTCTGCAGATACAGCTCTTCAACATCAGAAAAAATGTTTTCTTCTTTCCCTTGCAAGTGTTGCACACTTGAAGAAGAGACATCATTTTTACTTTAGCAGCCAGTATAAGACTTACAAGCCTTTAAAACCATTATTTAAATAACCAAAAGCAAAATAAAGCATTTCAGCTTTTTGTGCTTCCAAACTCTGGTTGATCTTTAAATTTCTGAGGTGACTTTCACTGTGGAACGGATACCTCCATTTTAGCTGTCTGAAAAAACTGCAAGGGAAAACGGAGCCTGCACACACATCCTATGTTCTACTGCAGTTCATACGGTAGCATCTGTTTAGTGTTAAGATGGCTGGCCTCAACCTACTTTACACAACTGGAGCAGAAATTCACAAAACCTCTGAAGCTAGTACTTTTAACTTCTAGTAGGAAAGTCTTATCTTCCATTACAAGTTAATACACCTTTTAGTTCCATTAAGAGGAAACTGGGTATAGTCCAAGAGCTTGAACACATGCATCAGTGAAAGATGCAACAGCATTCATAGAGTGACTCCAACAGATTCAAGTAATGTGTGATTGAGAGCACAAATATAGGAGTGGCATGAGGACATATGGACAGTAAGCATCTAGCCAATTTTCTACTTAGCATCTATCTTCAGGAAGATATGTGCTTCCTTTAAAACAGAAGGTAACGTTAAAAAGTGTGAATACCTATTTGCATAAAGTTACAAATTATTTGAAAAATATAATTGTAATGAATTAAAAATACCTAATGCACTTATGGATAAAAAGCCATATATGTAGCTGTACTACAGAAGAGAGATGATACACATATTCCTTATAAGGTATTTTGTTCAGTACCTGAAGCTTTGACTCTGTCAGCAAGAGACTATTTTAATGTCTGCTTAAAGCATCTTAACAAATTGCAAAAGCGCTATTATTTTTATGGGGTCAGAAAGATGTAAAAGAGTTTGAGGAATTATGCATTTCATTATCTCTGCTTGCTAAAATGACAAAATGTAAGAAGCTTAAGTATCTATAATGATTGATGTAAAAACATACCATTTAGCATCGTTTTGGAAAAAAATCATGGCAGCTCTACAGTTCTTCATTGTAAGACTCACAAGAATTTTTTGTAATATAAGATGAGGGAAATCACTGTAAAAAAAGAAAATTGGTTTGCATTTTCTTGCAATCAGACAAGCTCCTGGGATTCCTGAGGCGCACCCAAACATTAACCAGATTAACAGTGTGTCTTCAAAGAAGCTTAAGTTATTACTTAAGATTTCTAACACATAGTTCATGTATTTGCCGTGCTATGGACAGATAAATAAATTATGTCCCCAGAATGATATTCTAGAGTTAGATTAAAAACCCTGGAAACTCTACCAAAGCATTAACATAATACAATTCTGCAAATCCACTTTTCCCTGCACAGTTTTCTGTGTTATAGGGTGAGCTTACATATAAAATCATGCCACAAAGACTTTACCAGCAGAGCACAGGAGGCAACTCAGCACATTCTTCCATTTCTTCCTCCAAATAGCAGGACAGCACCCATTTCATTATTGCCTCCTTTAACAAAGAATCCAGATTTCTTTCACAGTTATTCTGTTTCATTCCTACGTCCAAATTTTCTGGCACTGAATAGGCAGACATCACTAATGATAAACAACATACAGCAGAACTGTAACACAAATGGAACACAGCATTTGTGAGAAACAATGTGGTATTTATTGATTAGCACTCTAAAGCAGTGTCAGTATTTCTGCATGCTCAGGGAGCATCAACTATGTAAGCAAGTTAATAGGCCTGCATACTGGAAAACTACCTTATTAGAACCTTTGCCTTTTCAAAAGCCACATTTTGGCTATTACAGACATTTCCTGTTTATTTTAAAGACTTTTTCAGAATACTCATTTCAGAATAAAAATATATTCAGAAGAAAACATACTTTTTAAGTTCAAAAAATTAACATCTCTTTCAGTCAGATTTCAAATTTTTAGTCAATTTTAAATTTGAAGATGCTTGCCTCTTCTTTTCTGCCTCTGCTTTCAGACTTATGTATGCATTTATGCTTGTTTCAAATGCTTAAAACACAAACAGGGACAGTTCTTAATTAGAAATCATCCACAACAACAGTATTATTATTTTAAATAATACAGCAGTTTTGGTTGCACAGTAAACAGCAATGTGCTTCCCATTTTACCTTGAAGGCTTGCATGCAGGTCCTGAAAATATCTTCCAGAGTTCTTTATCTGTTACAACAAGGTTTCCTTGAATCATAGCACCAAGTAGCCCAAAGCTCTCTACTTCAATTTGCTGGAAACTTATGCTACGAATGGTAAGAGACCAAATCTTTGCCCAGGTTCTCTGGAGCTCCAACTTGTATGTGCTTTTCAAATCAGTTTTCTGGTTTTGACACAAAGCTACCTCTGTAAGACACTTCAGCACGTATGGGGTCCTTTCTCCTCGGCGCTGCTGAGGCAGTAACTGGTGAAGTACATTGAGTAAGGGAGGTAGCTCACTGTTAGGAAGACTCAGGGGATATTTTGATATCAATTGAGCTGTAATCTGTAACCTTGAAAACACAAAGTGAAGCAATTAATATCAAACATACATAAATTTATGTCTTTAAAAGTAAATGAACAAACAAAGCCTTCTCCAATAGTCATTTCATGTTTATACTTCCCAGTATTGAGCTGATTTGTTTACTATCAAAGGTTAAAGATTCAGTATTTCTACTGTTTTTACTTGTAAAGTCTGCTCATTTAGCCTCACTATCACTAATATTTTCTTACAAGCTGACTTCACCAAATTCTGACCACAAGGCAAGAAAATTTCAGGCAAAAATATTATTTTTCTCCTTCTGGACTAGCCTGTTACACACTCTGACCCAGGGAGTGACCTCAAGTGTGAAATTACATATACAGGAAACATTATAACATCATCTCTGCAGATAAGAAAAATAAAATTTATTAAATGAAGAAAATGTTAAGCTGGGGATGGTAAGTCAGAAGGGTTTTGCTCATAGCAATGGCTGGAACTCTACTTTACAGTACCCACAGTATTTCCTGAAGATTGCCACCTCCACACAGAACAGCATGTTAACTTCTCAATTGGATCCTACACAGCCACTTTGTCTCAATACTACAAGCAAAGCGCACACATACACAAACCTGACACCCCAGCTCAGGACACAATTCTCAAGCAGCTACACTGTTCTGGTATCTTGTACAGCAGTTTCCAAGAAAAGTCAGAAAGACAGAGAGGAACAGTAACAGCAAAAAACATCCAGTGTAATCTATTTTGGCTAAAAAGTCAACATTCTTGGGCTTAGGACTACAACTGGTAAGTTCTGGAAAAGTCTAGCTGTGGTCTTCTAACAATGAGTTGACTCCCTGCTACACTCCCTGCTACAGAGTCCTCCTCCTGTGGCAGTCAGTAAAGACACGTAGCTATACGTCCAGTTCAGAAGTCCCTCATGTCAGACAAAATACCCCTCAATCAAGGTCTAAGCTAAGATGCCAGGCCTTGCATGTCAACAGTTTTCAGGCCAGGTGTTACAGCAAACTGTGAACTAGTCCAAAACAGCCAAAATGTTAATGGTTGCTGTCCTATGACACAGCCAGCTTAAGACAGAAGTAAATTCCAGGTTCATTTCCTAATACTCATAAGCTGGATCACACACACAACACTTACATAAAGACTGGTAATATCTAGCACAAAAGACAGGTAAAAAATTAGAAGCAGTAATATCTTATACACTACAACACAATTTACCAGACCTCGTTTGTTATTTCTTAGGAAACCAAAGATAAAATTTTTTTAAAGCAAGAGTGTCAAGAACACTACTCACTACTTTCCAAATGCTGTGAGAATCCAAGCTTAGTGCTTAGACGCATAATTACAGCATGTGCAGACACCTAATTTGAAAGCACAATATATTCAGGAGAATACGTAAATGTGAAGAGATGTCTGTAGTGGTATTTGTTTCATGTAAAGATGTTATTACCAAGGTATGACATCAAAATCCTTCTGGGATCTTTGCAGGTTGTCTCGAATTACCTCCCAGCCTAGTTCAATCCTCCTGCGCTTGCTTGGTACTGTTTCATCACTGGACTCTTTCTGTGAAACAGCATACGGCTGGGTAATTTCCAGAACTTTGGTATCCTCTGTAAAAACCTTTTATAAAGAGAAATTAAAAAGTACGCAAATAAAAACCAGTAGTATTTACGGGAAAAGGTAATTACAAGGGGCAATGGGTTTAAGCTGAAAGAAGGTCGATTTAGATTAGATGTTAGAAACTCTTTACTGTTAGAGTGGTGAGGTACTGGAACAGGTTGCCCAGAGAGGTTGTGGATGCCCCCTCCCTGGAAGCATTTAAGGTCAGGTCGGGTGAGGCTTTGGGCAACGTGGTCTAGTGGAGGGTGTCCCTGCCCGCAGCAGGGGGGTTGGAATTAGATGATCTTTGAGGTCCCTTCCAACCCAAACCATTCTATGATTCTATGAAAACTGAAATGCCAAACTAAACCAGTCCATTATTTACTGCATATAAACCCTCATAAGAGACAACTGAAATTATTATTTATATTCTTTACTATAGCAGAACCTTTGCTTATGGTCTAATAAGCAACACTGGTGAAACCTAGTATAATTTAGGAGTCCACACGTTTCTAAACTGCACAAAAAATAACAACTAAACACAACAGAACATAGACAAAAGGTACTAATACTTCAGTAAATGATTTTGAGGAAATGCTAAAGCCATATTACTTTTAGAAGCAAAACATATAACACAGTAAATATATAGTCAACTTTATATTCATATAAAAATGTTACCTGATGACAAGTATCAGCCATTAACTCAATCAAATTTTCCTTTACAGCAATATTACGGGAGCCTGAAGAATACTTTCCTCTACTACCGATGAGATTTATTTCATTCACCAGCAGATCATATAGGTTATGTAAGATACTTTGCCATTTTGTTGAGTCATATGCACCTGTACATGTAAAAACAATTAAAAGATAACATGTCCCATCCACTTGATACAATATGTAAACCTACCCAGAGAATGCAAAATACAGCCAAAACTAGAGTTTTGCAGATTATACAAAGCATAACTAATGCAGACCTGCAAAACAAGTCTTATGATGGAGAATGAATAAAGTAAAAAAAGTGAAAAAAAAGTTAAGAGAGAATTTTCCCTTCCAACCCAAACCATTCTATGATTCTAATTTAATCATCGTATACAAGTAATTAGGGTAGGAATGAAGTTTCTAATAATTCTGTATCTAACTGGAAAGACTACAATGAAATGCAATGAATAAATTTGGACTAATTAGAAACCCTTTGCCATTTGTAGACAAAGTAAAAATAAAAATTAATCTTTTTAAAATAATGATGCTATAACTGAAATAGGCCATGACAGACAAACATAATTACTGAGTGATGTTCTCCGACCAGTTTCATACAGTAAGTCAGACTTAGATCATAGTAGTAATTTCCGGGCTTAAATAAACCTGATAAGATACGAATACATGTGGCAATGTAAACTATTATTTCCCTTCCCCAAAGACTTTGTGTTTTGATTTCATAATTAAAATCACTTTTTGATAAAAAAACAATCAACATTTACAGGACTTAATACAACTAATATTCTCTTAGTGCATACAATTTGAAAACTCATTTTCACTTTCACTCAATATTAACCTATAGCATAACACTACTGACAAGTAATCATCATTCCCATTAATGTTTCCAAGACTCAGTATCAAAATTCAGAAAGTTGGCACAATAATTCGAACAATCACATGCAGTAATAGAAAAAAAAACTATCAGGGAGCTCTTTATTGTACCTTTTGCCTGAGTTTTTGCACCCTTTGGATGATGAATACGAACTTGGAGATGAAATAACTCAATTATTGATTCCTTCAGGGAATCCTTTGGTTTATACTGAGTCCAGATATAAAGCACTGTAGGTAAAATTTCTTCCCCTACTTTACAAATCCGTATGCGACAATTGGCAGCAAACTTATTGCAGAAGATATTCATTGCTCCAACAATATGATCCAGGCCTGCAGTATTCTTCTCCTGTCTGTAACATAAAGCAAACACTCAAACTTCCAGAAGAAATATTCTTATTTATTTTCACAGGAATTGTTTAAATGTAAATACTAGCAAGTAACTATATTCAGAATATTATTTGCCTAACAAATGCAGAAGTTATTAATATTTTTAAAGAATTTAATAAATTGGTGTTCAAAGACAGAACAAAATACGTCTAAAGAAGTATTACCTGCTATTACTCAAGTCTAATCCCAAATACTTACAATGAGTTATTCTCTAAAAGTAGGTATTAGCATACAAAAGGAACACTTGCAACATACCTTGCACATTGCATTGCTTTTGAAAAGAAGATAAACATATCAGAACTCAACCCATCAGTTTGGAAGCAGTATCCCCTTGTAAGTGTGTGAATTATCCTAGCCACCAAGACTCTATTAATCTTCCCAGAAGGTCTGAGGTATAATTGGCCATACAGGATCAGCATCTCTGCAAATGTATTAAAGTATATATGTTGTAAATATACAAATACATATAGATAAACATATATATTACAGAGGATTACATTAAAAATGCTTAAAGCAAAATACTGCATTAAATATATAAAACCCACCATTCTGAATTCAGCTGCATGTCATTATTCACAACAGTTAACCGGGGAAAAAAAACAAAACATGTAGTCCTGTCTACACTGGGAGTAAAGTTATATTCATTCTGAGCTGGGACACAATCTGCTTTGTGTTACACTGAGCCAAAGTAGCTATAGCTATATATTTTCACAACTACTTCCACACTCAACTACTCTACATTGATTGCTCAGCACAGTTGGCTCTGTGTGTTGCAGAATACACAATAGAAGTACTCAGGAACAATTTACAGTCACACATACATAAACAAAGGATTTGGTGCAGCAGGAACAAGTAAACAGATCAGAACAGTTCATACTGAGGCTCCCCATCTTTCCATTACACACAGTTCAGCTAGTTCACTCCAGCCTGCAGACCAACACGTCCATGCTTTGCACTCATTTACAAGTTTTCTGAAGGAAAAGCCCCTTCCTCAGATTTTTGCTTTCTTATCTCAAGACCCATTTAGGAATCATCACACTGTCCTCTCAGCAGCCTCATACAAATCACGGTAGCACATTACTGATCCAACCATCACCATCAGTTTAATACAACACATACAAAAGCCTCGCTGCTATTTCATTTATGTCACCTACGAGTGACATGATACTGTCCCTCAGCCCCCCAGTGGACAATATCCACTGCAAAGAATCACAACGGGAAGAAATAGATTCAGTCCTATGACCTCAGCATCTATTCTAAGATAACACTTTGAATGAATGGACATCCTCCTCTCAGGCCTCCTTTACTCTAAGGAAAAATACAGGTAGAACAATCTTTTGGGAATCCAAGCCATTACGACTACTTTGTTCACAGTCAACCAGACATGACCTCAGAGCAGTTGTATCATACAGTCCTTGGGATGCACAATGACCAGTTACTATACTTTTGCTCTGTAGAGTGACTATGACCTAGAAGAGCCTGACAACCCTCAACTCTACTGATCAGTAGCTCATCAGTTTGAGGTTAGCAACCTCTTCACAGTCAGGATCAAGGCCTCTGAGGCACTCTCTCACAATCTCTTGAATACTCTACATGGGTAACATTGATGGCAGCACCCAGGGCCTCAAGCTCTGGATTCCTGTATTGTGGAAAAGTCAGCTTGGGACAACTATAAATAAATAAATACACTGCAATGCTACTGCTTCATTGTTGTGCAAGCTTTCATAGATTTATGGACGTCCTGGACTTACGCAGGACTC